AGGCGCTCAGTGACAAGCTGATAAAAAGCTGGCCGTGTATCATGCACATGTGAGCAAAGAGTTAATCGCAGCAAGGCTTGCAGAAAACCCACAGGTTTATTTTATAGCGAGAGTGCATAAAGCCACAAATCTGTTGATATGTTGACCTGGCATGTCAGGACTAAAGCTTGTTTGTGAGGCATCAGAACTACTACTAAAAAAATCCTTCCATAACCCAGTTTGGTGAAATTTAAGCTGCAGCTCCCTTAACAAACAGGAATACGCATAGAACTCAATTAAAAAGCAGACCATGACACTTGAATCCACATTCACCTACATGATGTATCCACCTACATCATGTTACTCCATCCCATTCCCAGGCTTTCCAGCCTAGACTTCACCCAGTCAGTTGGGACTCTTAGCTGGGAATCCCTGATCAGAAAGTTCAACTGATTGGCAACTCATCCTTCCAAGTTGAGGCTGTGTGTGTGGACAAGATATGATGAGGAGAAAGAGGCAGAATAATAAAAGTAGCTAAATTCCTAAACAGGCATTACAGCCAATGAACAGTTATTGTACAAATACAGCTTTCATCTCTCTGGGGATGTAACTCGTGACACACCTAACTTTAACCTAAGGGTGACCTTCAGTCATCCTTCTTCCAAAGGATTCTTACCTACTTAGCTATTCCTCACACAGAAATTAAAAAGCAGACCATGACACTTGAATGTGGGTGTATCCACCTACATCATGTTGATTCCTTTCTTTGATCTGCTTTATCCTTCCAAGAACCTTCCGTGTCCTACTTTAACTTTTTTTTTTTTTTTTTTTTTTGATATGTAATGACAAAAAACACACAGTATTCAAGATATGGGCAAGCCATTTATTTGTACAATGGAATAATGACTGTTTTCTTGTTTAGTCTATATTATTTTCCTAACAATTTCTAAAACTCATAGTCTGCTTTTCACTGCTATTACATACTACTAACTGATAGATATCTTTATAGATTACCTCTGTCAGTAAAATTTAAATCCATCAGTAAAAATACAAGCTTTGATATGTGATATTACCACAGATTTACTATTATGTACCTCTCAACATTGCTAGTGGAAGTGGTCTTGATGCTAGAGATGGGCAGGACAGCTGTAAAACCAAATAATGTATTTCTCTGTCCTCCAAAATTTCTAGCAATGTAAAGCTGTTAAACCAGAACCATATCCTTAAAATATACCTAGAATCAGAAATAAGGAAAAAGAAATATGTACCAGGGCAAGGAAGATGAGAAACAACTCACAAAGAATCTTTCAGGCAAATTAATGAGTGGTAATTATTTTCTAGCTAATTGATGCAACAGGTTAATACATAATAAATAGAGTGGTTTTGCTCCACTTGACATACCTCATTATTGCTCTTATAACACTGTCCTTTAGGATAATTAGTCATGCTGGATGTACTGCATTGTAACTAGACTCGCTTGAAACAGATAAGCATGTCTTAGAAGAGTATTGATTGAAAATATAATTAAAAATCTCCCTTTCCCACAGAGGCACTGGAAAGGCTAGGTAACTAACGTGCACTCAAGGTTTAAAAGTATTAAGACCTTGAAATCACCAAGTATTACAAAATCTCTCCAAATTCAAACGGCCTTGGAGTCATATACGCATTGTATATGGACCACCCTACAGGAAACAGCACAGAACTTGAGGGAAACGTGTAGCGAACAGGACAAAAATCAGACCCAAATAAATAAACTGGGCTTCCAGTGAAGGGCTCCTTTTGGACAGGTTGGCAAATGCAAGAGTCATGTATCACTATCCATCTTTTTCCCCACTCCTCAACCCTCCTGGCAGAGCCATGCAATAGCTAAAGCTAGTAGTTATTGAGGCCTACCCAAAAAATAGCAGAAGAACAAAAAAAATCACAATTTTGTCAAGGAATGTCTTGTCAAATAATCCTCAGCAGGTCCTGCTCAATTTACAAGATTATCCTGCTACAGAAATACTGGGCTGGCCTTGACAGCTCAGAAAACTAAGAGGATGACGAATCTTATCTTTCACAAGCACAGACATAAATCACACAGCACTGCCGAGCGGCTATTTGAAAACACAGAAGACGTGCAAGTGCAGAAGAAGGCACTTAACAGAACATAGCCACGCATAAACGTGGTGAAGAGCTGTCCCCAAGAGCAGATCACAACAAAGATCTTGGGAACTGATCAACGTGATAAATTTGGGCATGAGGCGGGCAGGAGGCTTCCCTGCCTGTGTATATTCCATTCATCTGGCACATAACTTTGGACGAGTGTAATTCATATTGCACAAATTCATTATAATGTACTCCATAATCATTTTATACTAAAAGGACTATAGGAACCTATTTATTTCAAATTCCAGTTACTCTAAGAAGAATATTTCCTTTATATATACACACACCTGAATATAAATTACATGGTTTCTTAGCTTTTCCTGTTTAACCAAATTGTGAATTGTTTCATGACATTTTTTCTGCAATGCTTTCATATTAAGTAGGCTACTAAAATGTTTTAAATAAGTACTAGATAATTAAACTAAAAATATGCTCATTTAATATTTTTTATTCAATTTTGGTAATCAAATTATGCTAAAAATCAGCCCATTTTAAAGAAAATGATGTTTCAAGTACAAGTCTGAGTGTACCACACACCCTTAATGAAAGACAAGCATGGTGCAGGGTATGTACTGGAACAGTCATTAGTAAAAAGTATTATATACATGAAGGCAACGCAGGTCCTAGAATTTTCCTTTTAGGGTGACTATTATAGTCATATTCACTGTCTCTGCCCTTTTGTGATATCTAATTCCTCCATAGCACGGAATATTTTCTGGAAAGTCAAGAGAAGGTATTGAGACATGTCCTGTTCTACTCTAATCTGGTTAAGCTTTCTCTTGCAGCGTGGGCAATGCAATTCCGAATCCTTTAGGCAACGGATCCTGCGTTTCCCACATCCCATCCTGACATTGGGAATATGAGGTTGTTAAGTATTTACCAGATCAGAGCCTAAATTAGAACAGACAAATGGGGTTTACTTTGTAAGTTACCTCTAGTGGTCTTTCATTCTTCATTTCTTGCTTCCACATACTTCTTGTATATCCAGTGTAAGATGTTTATAGCAAGTTTTTCTAAACAAGAATTTGACGTAATGAAAATACTTATGGACCAACTACCATTTTTTCTGCCCAACACAAACACTCATACAAAAGTGTTTCTACATTTAATTTTTGAGACATGTAGATATTTTGGGGTGCGACATACTGTATACACAGGATATACTGCAAAGTTACCAAAACATTAAAAGAAGTTGCGGTTCAGAGAGAAACCTCCAAATAAACAGTATTGCCAACTCGTATTTCTTCTATAATATTTGTACTTATTCATATATTTTCCTTCTCTACTATAGAAAGAACACATATCGAGTTCAGCACCATGGCCTTGTTTAAGGCTACCTATTCACAAGAAAATGCTTTTCAAAATCAAGTCAAAAACATAATCGGCTATGATGGAGCAAAATAAAAATGTGGCCAATTTTAAATGACGTATTAACAGTGATTTGTTAATCCAATCTGAACTCTAGCACAGGTAGATAAATCATTTTCTTGTACAGACTAATGTGATAAAACTGCTTAAGTTCACGGTGTTGTCCAAAATCTCTCTCCCCTTAACAAAGTCCACAGACTTATCCAATGCAGAATCCTACAACCTCATGAAAAGGAAATATTTAAAGATAACCTGGAGTCAATTACTGCAGCAAACTACCTACCTGCTAATAGAAGCTGATAGGTGATAAAAGAATTTCACTTATAAACTTTGCATAGCAATGGAAAGGAAACATAAAGTTAATTATTAGAGAGCAGTAGATCAGAAGATACCATATTGGGAGTGTATATTTAGCAGAGAAATATAAAATGATAAATTATTATTACTCATCTCAGCAGCAACTGCCTGTGTGCAACTATTATTTATTTTTTATCATAACCCAAGGCCCAGATTGATAAAACACAAGGACTGAAAACAGATCCTTGTTTTTAGTGTTGATTATACAAATATTTATAGATCATTGAGTTAATTACATCAAAACGGGATAAAAAATGACATAAATACACATACACACCAGTTTTAAATTAACATGCTAAAATAGCCTGAATATATGCTTTACATAGCCCCACGAACATCAACTATGATTTTTGGTTTTTACAACAATTACTTTTTCACACAATAAAGATATTTTCTGTTGTTATTATAATAAAGACTTCATAGAAAGAAATAGTTTCTGCAATAGGTAGATTTCACAGTTAATGGGAGATTTCGCTTCAAATTCAGTGAAGCATTTGGGTATGTTAATTTACACTGAGTTCCATTTAAGTGCTTAAAGATATTCAGAATTAAGAGGCAAAATTCCAAGCACCATTTAATTACTCAGGAGCTGAAAACTGAGCACATGCTTAAATGCTCTTTTTTGCTAATATTAAGTGGCTTTATAGTATTCAAATTCTCTTTTAGAAATATAGGAAAAGATTTGATTGGTATTTTATACCTGACTTTCCTACCATATCTTAAGACTCATGCCTATTAGAGACGCACCACATAAAAAGCAAGCTGCGGGTGCAATGTCATGTTGACATTCAACAGAGGAAATGTATGTAAAAGGATCACTACTGACAGAACAAAGTTGTCAAAAATCTGTGACATAAATCCTCAAACCATAAAAAGAAATCATTTCTGAAAATACTTGATATGAAGTAATTCCTGCAGAATAGGTATAATAATTATGGACGCTACCTTTTGTAGCGTTCCTTCCATTGCACTTATATGGCTTTTAAAATGATTATGAATATAAACGTTCTCGGTCTTTAATCAAAGCGGAACCTTCAAACTGGAGGGAAACACCCTTTTAACTCTACTTGCTAAATTTGAAAGGAAAGCTTTCCTTTGGGATACAGACATATACAAAGGGGAAGGAGAAAAACAAGAAAATAATTGTCTTATTTCTTTTTCATTTGCTCCTTATTTCCTATCCTGCTGTTATCACTTCCCCCAGGTTTTTCTCCTACTGAAGTCACTTCTTCCATCTGCTTTCTCGCAGAGTTCACTTTCTCCAACAAGAGGAAGATGTGTTCTGCAAACTCCCGGATGGCTCCACAGCCGCCGTTGCTTTTACAAATGTAGCCCGCAGCCTTCTGAGCAACTGTACAAGCATCAGCAGGGACGCCACTCAGGCCTGCATTTTTTAGGCACTCCACATCAGACTCTTCGTTACCTGTTGAGAAAGATGACACACACGCAAATATCACATAGGGGATAAACTCTGCAAAACTCACTTTTTCCTTACACACACTAATCTATTTCTAAGAACTGTATTCTTGCAGCAACTTTCATCTGAGAAGCTCAACAGCACTTTGTATATGTGAGTCAGTTCTTAAAAAACCTCCATGATATATGGCAATACTAATCACACTTTACACAAACAATAAGCAAAAGGATAGCACTTTTAGGACTGGTAAAACTGTTTAAGCAACTGATTAAGCATTTGCACAATTACCTACCTAAGCTGCTATGGAAATGTAGTTTGTACAGGGCTACATAGCTTTAACACTTTAGCTTCCATTTCATAATATAATTTATGTAATATTCACTTGGAACTAAATTGAAATAATTTCAAACTTGTAAACTTCAGCTTGTATGTGTATGCAACAATATCAAAGGCTTAACAGCTAAGACTTATGAAATTAGATTTTCATTCATTAATGTATTTAATATTTAGCTTGCACCTCAGCAGAACTTAAAATGTGTATTTACTTTTAGTGATCGTATGCTGCAATTTGCACTTAAGTCTAGTTTATCAACAAAGGGCAAAGTACTTTGAAGATACATAGTGTCATGAAGCTCACTATTTCTATATGAAATTTTAGTAAAAAAGAAAAGACACTGACCTAAGTAAGCCACTTCTTTCCAGCTCAAAGCAATATCTTTTCGCCAGTCCTCTAGGACTTGTAATTTATTTGTTGCATTAACTTTTGCTATACATCCCAGCTGCATGGCAGACAGTGTTTTCAAGCAATCTCTTTCAGAGATGAGTCGAACCTATTAAATTAAGACAAGTTAAAATAAATTCTACACACAAAGAATCAAGACATAGATTAATTTACAAGGAAAAGGAGAAATTTTGCTCATAGAGGCTCTCTTTGATATCTGAGATGTTGCACGACTGATTTCTTCATTCAAAAGTCATAGCAAAATGATTAGGATTCCAAAAAAAAAAGGCAAAAAGAAGCACATTACAGTCTTCAACTGCAACTTGTTAAGACAGAGTGCATCATCAGTCTCTAGGCTTCCTTGAAGTTCACAGAAAAGGAAACTGTTTTCTTTTTTAATGAAATGAACTAAATTAAATATCGGATATCAGTATTGTTTTTTACAATAGGACTTTTAAGCATCAACAGAACATTAAATAATGTTCTGCACATTCACCTGAGGAATTTCATTCTGATTTTGAAATTTAAGAACACACCAGAAAGGAAATTAGTTATCCTGCTGCAGTTAACGTTATGTCCAGACCCATTTTCCTGCCCCAAGTTTTAGGTCCAAGTTATGGACAAATGTATTCTCCCTAACTACTACTATCTGATAATGCATATTTGGCATATCTGATTTTAAATAACAGGACTCATGCACAAAGTGCAAGTGGAGTAGAAAGCCCAAGACATTTCTAATGAAAGATTGCAAGACACAGTAGCAATAGAAACAGGTGCAAGGTTCCTCTCCTTTGCTTCCTAGAAAACAGAGCTGGAATCTCGAAAACCCATCTACTCCTTTCTATTGCCCCAAGGCAGCATCAGCTTTTTCAAGAACGTCTTGCCTAACCTGTTTTAAGAACTCCTACTATTGAGACTACAAAATGTATCTAAACAGTCTCCTCAGGGCTTGGCTAAGTTTACTTTGTCCATACCTATCTTCACTTTTAAATAAAGCTCTCTGAAGACTGCCTGTATCAGTTAGTTCTTACCCGCTCTGAAAATTCTTCTGACTATATCGAAGGCAGCAGCACATACAGAAAACCGCAGCATGGCTAATATAACCTAAAAGTTACTAGATCCTCAGTTTAGCAGAATCCAGTACGAATAATTCAGGAAAGCAACCATTAATAATCTGTGTTGTTCCAGTTTGCCTTGAATTCTTGAAGTTTCAGAGAGTATACATTGTAGTTAATCCAACTACATGGACAAAAGCAACTGGTGTTTGATTTTCCCACTTTGCCACCATAATGGGTAACCTAGGATTAACTAATGAATTTCCCTGTGTACCCCTTCCTCTTCCATAACTAAGACATAACAACATATCCCTCCTTGGCAGAACTACTGCAAAACCATGTTCATAGTTTGTGACATGCAGATGTCACAGTAAACAAAAACATATAATTAATGTGCATCTAAAACACCACACAATATGACTGAGGATAGCAAAACACTTCTTCCAATTTTTGCAGGACAGGAAGAGACAAAAAATGCCATGATCGTAATGATTGAGAGCAAGAACTTTATGGAAAAGCATAAATTTCCTTGAGAGAATCCGGGCATTTGCCCCAGCCCTGTACTGATACCATCACTTTGCTCTCAAGTACTCTGAAGGAACTTCAAGTGCTGTAGATTTCAGAAACTTTTAATGTTCGGTTTACATCAGAAATAAAGCTCGAGCATTTCAGAATAATGCTTACCTGAATTCCTCTCTTCTTTAAGAGTTCAATCCCAACAATATCTCTATAATCATAAGAGACCATTTCCTTCTGATCTTCTGTCACATAAATGCGACCATTTGTCAGGCATCCATCGATACTGCAAACCAAGAGCTTCACCTCTTTTAATGGCTCTTTACCAAAATATCCAAAGCTAGACAAAGAAGTTATCTTTTCAGGACGGAAGCTTTTGCACAGTCAAAAAATAAACAAATTCTTTTGTGTGAAGATCACAGTTCTAACACCTTTGAAATTGTGTTAAGAAAAGAAAATTCTTTTTAGAAGAGTCTCTTCTCATCTTCATTCATCAGTTATATTCTCCCCCATCAAAGAAGAAAAATCCAAGGCAACTTGGATATGCTTTCTCTTTAAAAAACAGGAAGAGACTTATTTCCTTAGGATAAAATGTTATGTTCTACAGCACCAGTAACATGTATCAGTAAACATGGAAGTCCAAGACAGCACAGACAAAAAAGGCTATAGCTGATACTAACATCTCTGGGATATAGAGGGAGTTACAATCTCCTTTTGCCCTAGGTTGAAATCTTAAAAATGAAATAGCAAAGGTAATTCATCAGATTTCAACAGAGGAAAAAATGATGGATCCTTACTTTAAGTTATAATCTTAAAACTAAACAAACATTATGAATTCATAGGATCATAATTCGAAACAGTGAGCAATACAGAAGTCATAAGGGAACCAAAAGTGTTTTTACCTCAGCACTCTTTGCTCCGCAATCGGCCAGTCAATGTCTATATCAATATCGACGCTGTGCTCTGCACGCATTTCATAGTAGGCCATTTTACCACCCTAAATGAAAAATAACATATTAACATTTTCCATTTGGACTAATACAACCATAAAACTGTACTAAGGAGCAAGCAATAAAGCCTAGAGACCCATTTATGCAGCAGTCATAGTGGCTTAAAAACAACTGAACCACCAACAATGACATTTTGCCAATTACACAGAATTTTAAGTAACTCTACATGGGCAAAACAATTAATAAATATCTTCAGTTTACAACTGCACAAAGTGTGCTATAAGGATGTTATGCCTTCTAGTCAATAGATCATAGTGATTTGACTAGGTTTTTTTTTATCTAATACAGTAAAATAGTAACACATTTGGCATTGACTCAGAAGTATACATTTTTTTTTTGTTACCTACACAGACTTCATATCAACCAGAAACACATCCACTAAATCCTAATTTAATTACAACACAAGAGAACCAACAAAAAGAGAGAGAGAGAGAGAGAAAAGAATGATCATCAAAAATTTAGCACCTCAAGTCTTCACAGAATGTACAAAACAATGAAGCTCAGTGCTTTAAGTCCACACAGCACCTGCTGGCACTACATGGATCTACCCAAATTATAGTGACCTAAGTTAATAACTAGTGAGTTATTTTCAAAAGACAGAAACAAGAGCCTTATATTCTTGCCATACCTCATAAAGTACTTCCAGTAGAAATATGGAAATATTGGTGTTAGACTTTTGTGTAGTTCTGGTGACAAATGTTGGAAATAATTTGTGATGGAAAGCCTGTCTTACATGAGAAAAATTAAGGGGCTATGCGAGTGGACAAATAAAAGCTGAAGTAAATACACTTGTTCTGTATTACCTCACTGGTAATGCACTACATGAGGTAGTGGGAAAAGACCCTTTTTAAATTACAGTACAAAACTGGTACAAGACCAAAGGTTTAAACTGGCCATGAATAAGCCAACTGATGTGAATCTCAATACCGTATCCTTTTTGGCTTCTATCCAGACATACAAATATTATTTGTATGAATATATTTCCTGTGGAGGAAGCTATTACCAGAACTGCCCTACCTACAGTGGGCAATGTTCAACCACACTGAAGTTAACCATCCTGAGGTCAGGGTGCTGGTACTAGACACTGCCAGAAGAGAGACATTACTGAATCCAGGACCTCCACGTCAGAAGTGCGAGAAGCATTATTCTAGAAAGCCACAAAGGACAAAAAGACTAACCTGCAAGTAGCCTTTCTCAATCAAATGCCTCTTAGCAAAGTAAAATGAGCCATTTTCATACAGCTCTCCAGGCCAATCTTGTCGCCGGTACCGTTTCGCTGGGTTTAGGTTTTGGGGCTCTGTCATTTTGTTTTCTGTTATAGCAAAGAAAAACAACAAAATAAGTTTTCCAGAAATCCTTCTTCGAAGACACTTCGTAACTTTTTTTTTTTTTAATATAACAGAAAGCTATTTAAAGAATAAAGGAATAATTCAGATGCTCACTTCTTTCACTGCTGTTTCTCATAGCTTAGCTTTACAAAGAATCACTGAACTGTGTGTTCTTTGTTATAACTGGTAATAACAAATTGGGGGACTGCCCTACATTTCTAGCAGAGGAAAAACAATGTTTTTCATTCCAATTTGAAAACAAAAATTCTTGAGAGGCCCTCAGCTCCATAGTTGGTTAATAAATTTTCTTCTGGAGAGTTCTTGCCTGTGTGAAGGAAACATCAGACTTTCCATGTTCTATGTATCTGCCAGCACACTACAGGAAGGGTTAAACTTAAACACACACACAATTATCTACCTACACCTAAAAACAAAGATGCCCTAAATAAACTCTGAAAGCTGAGGGAACCAGCCTGAAATCTGGTAGGTATAAAGACATTATGAGAAGCAGTTTTGCCTATGGAAACACATCATCACTTCCTACTTGAAAAGTAGCCATATTAGCCATTCTCAACTGGTTTAATCAGTGTCCATAAATAAACAAAACACAGACCTTGAAGAAGTAATAGTTGTAGTGAATCAAGCAGAAACAAAGCCAAGGACCAGAAAAAGTAGCCATATTAGCCATTCTCAACAGACCTTGAAGAAGTAATACTTGTAGTGAATCAAGCAGAAACTGAGCCAAGGACCAGAGACACCTATGCTTAGGTCACTCAAATTCGTCCACAAAACAGCTAAAATGCACCAGCTCTCATGATACGATGACCCACAAAAAAAATGGTGGGAATTCTCAAATACACCAAACATCCTGATGCTTTCATATACACACATTTTACATTTAATAACTACATTACAGCTTTTTGTTCCAGGAAGTATGCAGCCAACCACAGAGACACTGTTCTCTTTCAGGGTACACATATATTAATCCGCTAAGGAGAAGGAACAATAAAAATACACGTAAAAAGATACAAAATACTTGTAACATACTTTAAAACTACCTGAAAAGAGTCCGACACTGCATTCTACTTTCGTAATTGCTGTTACCTGAAACACCACATTCCTGTTAGCATCACAAGATGTTAAATGGACTTAGTCCTGGATGCCTAAAACACAATTCACAGAATCCTAACTTTCAGCCATGATTTTAATGTTCGTCTTCTAAGTTACATACAAATTGCATAACATTATTTTTCCTCTTTTCAGAAACAATTAGGATGTTCAAATTGTCTATTCAAAAACCTAACTTTCATTCCATCTCTAGTACCATGCTTCAATTATATTTCACATACTCTTCTATAGCACAGAAATTAAAAAAAAGTGTGGGGAGGAGATCTTTGTACAAGAATGCCAGGTAGTTCTGCAACTACAATAATGCACAATCTTTAATTACTAGCGAAGAGTTCAGTCTTTATTCATCTTGGCAACTGTAGTCGAGAAGCACACTTTGCAATGAGAAATAAGCACATTTCTTCATATGAGCCAATTAACATGAGCTCAGAATTAATGATTCAAAGGCAGTTTGCAAACTGACATAAGTCCACAGTCTAATTAACATGCTGAAATAAACCCTAAGCCTTCAGGCTATGAGATTGCGATCCCACCTTCACTTAGACTTTATACTAGCCTTTCACTAGCCAGAGCAAAGAAAGAACAAAACACTTTCCTAATTAAGACCTCAGGGTCATGTTAGTATACACCTGAATACCTGCCAAGCAGAAGTTAACACATACAGTTTGGGAAATTTTTGTTTTGAGCCTGGGCATGCTAATAACGTTTGCACTTTCAGCATCTCATCACTTCTGCAAAACAATGAGCAACAACTATACATAAACTTGATATATAAACGATGATCATATAAAACCATATAAAGAAATTTCCAAGTGATCTCATTACTTGGACTTAAGTCTGTGCCTCTGGTACCACTTCCTACTGTACCACAACATTTTTATTGAGTATAATTGTAATGAGAGAAAACAAACAAACAAACATTACCTCCTTTTTTCACCTCGCTCCATCTAAACTGATGCCTTCTTACAACAGAGAAGACAGAATCAAAGCCCTCCTTCTGGATCAGATCTGCCACTTTTATAAGGTCACTGGGATGTAAACAGGGAGATGTTGCTTGAATATTTCCTACAATATCAACCTCTAAAGAAAAACAAACATTTATGAAACAGTGATTTTTTAATATGCACAATTTCAGAGTGTGGCATGAGCAAATGCCACGTAAAAAAGAGAACATTACTAGCTTCTATTTGGTATAGGCTTTACTTTCCTTTTTTTTTCCAAATAAAATAAACACATCATCCTTCTAGTCTTTAATAAAATACAAGAACTCAGCACATTTCCCTACTGAAACTTAATGAATAATGCTCATGTACCATGATGATGATTCAGAAACTCTCTGATAGTTTCTAGAGAAGTAGAGGAGTCTTGAGACACTTCACGGCTTCTGCGATGAACTTGAGCCCCAAACTGCTTAGCAACCTTCTCAATTTCATCGTGGTCTGTAGAAACCCACACACTGTTGGCAGAAAGTGACAGAGATGAATGAGCATAAAAGAACAACAACTTATTTTGCCTTGAATCCTATTAAAATAAGACATAACGGTTACAGAAGCAGGAGGTTGCTAACACAACATTACTAACTTGCCTGTCATAGTGTGCTAAACTGAACAATGCTCTGTTTCATCCATGGACTAAATTTGGAAAGAAAGAAAGGGGAACTAGTTATTAAACTGTTCCTGTTGATACAAGGATGAACCACTTTTAGAAATGAAGAACAAATTTGCTAGATCCTAAAATGTCAAGCCTGAGCTGCACTTCGATTTAAGCCAGTATGACACCTGATCTAGCATGCAGGTAGGTACCTTGAGTAACATGGGAGTCAGAAATGTTACCATAAATACGCAACCCCAGCATGCTACAATCCGCTAGGCACAACGGGTGGAAGGACACATTCAAAAAAGAGTCACTTAAGAGCTCAGAAACAACCCTGACAACAGACAAAACTGCTATTCAGTTACAGAACTAGCTTTTTCTTCAAGGAACATGAAACATATTAGTTAGGTTCCATCCAAACTTCCAGCAAGAGTTTTTTAAGGTGCAACCACAGATAATTTGGTGAGGGAAAAAAAAGTTTTCACCATGGCAAAGCAAGATCATTTTTGTTTCGGTACGATAAACATTTATAAAGGAAAACGGCCAAATCTGGCTCTTAGGAGGTGACAACACCCACATTACTGCTGCCACCAGTCTCAGAAGCAGGACAGCAGAGAGCCACGTCAAGTCACACCCATGTAAACAAGCGCCAAAGCAAGAGGCATTCTCCTTATGCTTCGGGCCGCCTGGTTCAAACATACCCACCCGTTTGACCAACAACAGCTGGGCTGGGTAACGTCTACACCGACGCGGTTCTAAAGGCATTTTTTGACTCCGAGGGGTGCACCCCTCCCTCTATAAAATCAGAAGGCGCCTCACTAGGGGGTTTATACGCACGCATGTACACAGGCACACGCATATATACGAAAGACCCCGAAGCGCCCATACGCTTCCCC